GGGGGGGGGGGGGGGGGGGACTTTGGTAACCCCAGCATTCGGTTTGGCCAGCAAAGCCATCCCCAAATTTGCAGGCTGTTAAGTAAAATAACCACCTGGCATCAAGGAAGCGGGAGCGCAGGATCATGACAGCTTCACACGTGCTCTGCTTCAGCTGCATCTGGATAGAGCTGAACTTCCGATGGATAATGCTGACCATGCGCTCAATCTCCTTAGGTGACACCGGGCGTGTGCGGCTTTGCTCTCGAAGCAAATTCATCACATGGGTAGTGAACTCATTGCAAGCCTTCGTGGGAAGAGGAGTGGAAAAGAAGAAGGAAGAGGTGGGGCTGGTGAGTCAAAAGTTATGACAATCTCCCCATCAACAGCGATCTATCCCCCATCCTAGAGATTCACCACCTCTGGCCACTGAGTCTTAGCTCACGCCTCCAGCTAAATCAACTTTGTAGCAGTATTAATCTTTTCTTCCCTAGAAAAGGCTGCATTTTCCACCCGTTCACCCCGTTGCCCACTGTGGCCCTTGGAAAGCAGTAACTATGGCTGCTGAAAACAGACACTGACGCCTCCCATGTGAAGAGGGAAGTATCTGCCAATTTAGTAGAAGCCCTAAAACAGAATCAACCATTAAAAAACACATGTTTAAGGTAAAAGCCCTAAAAAAAATACACAGACATATTAAACTGTTCCCCAAACTCAACCCTTGCCCAGATGTTCCACAGAGTCTATGGGAGTGGGCGGCTATAGTAAATGTAAATTAACAACAATAACATAATAACAGCAGCAACATCTCTCTGTGTTTCAGCTATCAGCCCCTAAATGTTAAATTCAGCCCTTGGCCTGAATTTACGCTCGCAGCCAACTTTTTTCCCCCCACAATTGGAAAGAGAAACAGCTATTATGCTGAGATTATTTCTCCACACCCATTTTGAAGTAACTCCATATGCCGGGACACTTAAAAATAAAATAAAATCAAGTACTCTATAATTGACATAACTAGTTCAGCCAGTTATACCATAATTAACAATTAGTTAAGAGCCAATGAATTGGGCTTAACCCCTGATGACTGTTGATTTAATAATGCAACTTTAGTGGATTAATATTATGGTGTGGAACAGGTCTTTTTCAGGTGGGCACATTTGTTATCCTTTTCAGTGAATGCTGGTGACTGAAGTTGATATATAAATATGCTATATGGATTGCAGATACAGAAATAGAAATGATGGTTAAGTCCTGATTTAAATTTCCAGGGAAGTGGATACTGAGTTAATTCTTTAAAGTGGAAAAGACATAAACATTTATTGTAGAGTAAGTCACCATGGAGGGAGTGTTTGCAGCAAATTGCGCTGACACCAAAATGACACGCATGCAGTGACACCAACATGCAAAGGCTTCCATTATGTACTTCGGTCCAACACCTGATGAAAGGACATACGTCACGGCATTTGCGTGACGACGTCGTTACGCGCGTTTCATCATCTGCCTCCCATCCTCGGGTGCCTGTGCTACCACTATGCTGATACTCCAGAAAAGATGGGATTTGACTATTCTGGATGAATTCATTTGGCATTAAAAAATGCGATTCGGGGGGGTACATTGCCTTAGCAATCTGAATGGCTCAGATACCTGCAACAAAGATGTGAGATGGGAAAAACTGCATTACTAAATCAGTTCATTCAAACCCAGCTGCCTGTTGTTATATTTTTATCCCACCTTTTTAATATATTTTGGTCAACACAAGGTGGCAAACGTGCCTAGTACTCCTGCCTCCTATTTTCCTCACAACCACCACCCTGTGAGGTAGGTTGGGCTGAGAGAGAGTGACTGGCCATCCCTAAATTTGGTATTCAGATGAGCTAATATATACTTTCTTTATCCATTTTAAATAATACCATTGCAAAAAGGAAGGACATCTAATGTGGAGATATATGAGGATCTGTGTTGTTGTGTGTGTAGGCGTTTCAGCCTTTCTTAGGTTTTACCAAAAGCTTTCACCTATGTCAATGTCTCCTCTATTAATCCTTTTAGGTTTTTTTTTTAAAGGATCCCCCCTGAATCTTGTACTTTTTGAAAAGTGACATTCCTTAAAAGGGGAAATAATTTGAAAGAGGAATTGAAACACACAGCAGGAAAAAAAGTCTGAGAGCAGTGTTTCTCAACCTTGGCGACTTTAAGGTATGTGGATTTCTACTCCCAGAATTCCCCAGCCAGCATGGGAATTCTGGGAGTTGAAGTTCACATACCATAAAGTCGCCAAGGTTGAGAAATACTGGTCTGAGAGCCTTACACCGATACCAGCTACACTAAGGGAAACTGTGTTCTGGTTTTCACGGAGTTTATTGTGTTAACACATCTCCACGTTGTTCTGATAACAGATCACGTGATCTCACTAGGAACAATGCTTCCATAACTGTGGTTGCCGTTTCCGTGGGGTTTTTCAAGAACGTAACCCCCGCAGATAATGAGGATGGAGTGTGTTTTGGAATCTGTATCTTCTAAAATACACAGCATTTTGACTGAATATGTGCCATCAAGTCAGTGTTGACTCTTAGCAGCCACAGACACAGATTTTCTCCAGGACGACTGGACCCCAATCTGGTCCTTCGTCTCTCCCAACATGGTCCCCATCACTGCTGTAATCAAGTCTACCCGCTTCGCTGGTCCTCCTCTTCTTCTCATTCCTTCCACCTTTCCCAGCATTAGAGATTCCTCCAGATCTTTGCCTAACGTGTTCCCAAAATGACAATTGCACAATGCATTACTATTTGTATATAATGTTAAAATGAATATACTTACATTGGGAAGGCACGACCAAAAAGGTTAAAGATAGGCCATCCAAAGAGTCTGGCGACCACCGATTTGGAGAGCAAACGTAGAGAGCACATCCCTTAAATAAGCCCAACCCCGCTCCCCTGCCCCCCCCGGCCCTGTTCTCAGGTATCCTTACCTGCTCGTATTTCTCCAGCTCCGAGTGGTAGATCTGGCGGATCTGTGAAAGCTTGTTCCGGTAATCCGAGTGCTCGATGGAGTTGTCGGGGGACACCCCTCCAGCTGCTGCCGCGGCTGCCGCCGCCGCCGCAGAACCACCCCCCTTTTCGGGTCCGGCCACCCCCTCGGCCAAGAGCATGTTATCCAGGCGCATCAGCTGCGGGTCCACCGGCTCCTCCTCTTGCGAACTCCGGATGCTCAGCCCTGCCCGCCGGGAGAGGAAGGGGTTAATGGGCTGCCCGGGCAGACCCACACAGACAGAGGCGCGGGCCCCCACTGGGCCTGCACACACAGGGGCGCGAGCACGCACACACACTCCGCGTGCACACACGCTCCCCGGCACTCCTTTTCGATGGGCTCCCCCTCCCTCCCCTCCGGGTGCCTCTCTGTCGCCTGGCAAGAGACTGGGTCACGGTGAGGTCGTTGCTATGGTAGCGGCAGGCCCAGGAAAGGGGTAGCGATTTTTGGCAGGAGCCAGCCTGCAAAGGGTGTGTGTGCGTGTGCACACACGCAATAGTGGCCATAAGCAAAGGGGGTAGAGAGTGGGGAAGGGGAAGGGCAGAAGCAGAGACCCCACAGAAGCAAGATTGAGGATCAGCCAGTTTGGCTCTCCCCCCCGCCCAAAAGCAGGAGGGCGAGTATTGCACTCCCTCCTCCATATTTGCAACCCTGGGGCTGCCTCTGCTTTTAATAGCAGCCGAGGGGCCTCTCTGCACCCCACTCCAAGGCGGAACCCCCCCCAAAAGTGGCACGCAGCCAGATGAGGAGAAACAGCTCACAAAGCTGCCTTGCTTCGTTCATTTTAAGAAGCTCCTCCCCACACACAAAAACCCCACACTCCCCTACTACATAGGAATCATCTGGCAAGGCCGCGGCTGCAACTCAATCTCCTGCTCATTCCTCCCGTTAGCAAGCGCCCGGCGCAGAGGCCGCCCAGGCCGAGCTGGTGCATTTCCACAACTGGCAGGGCAACTTGCTGGAGTTGGGGGGGGGGGCAGACAAATGCATTAGTTTTGTAACCAAACGAGGGGCTGCGGGTGCAAATCTGTGCAACTCACTTGACCAGTTCTGGAACGGCTCCCCAAACAATGAAGGAGCCTCCTCCGGCTCCGCTCCCCTTGTGGGAGGAGAGCTGGGTCAGTCTGTGGTGCAAAAAAATCAGGAGCCTGGGAGCGTCTTTTCCAACGCGGGCAGCTCACAGAAGTGTCGGCCTTTTAGTAAAACCAGGTTCCCGATTTTTCGCTCTGCCTAAAGTCTCTTGCAGTTGGCAGAAGCTGTGGGAGAAAGTCCTCTCCCATTCCAGTGGTAGATACGTTGGTGTCTCAAGCCAGAAATTCAACCAGTGCAGCCTTTCTCTTTACACCAGGATTCCCCAAAGTGGTCCCTATCAACCCCAAGGGTTGATGGGACTATCCAAGGCACTGTTTCTCAACCTTGGCAACTTTAAGACCTGTGGACTTCAACTCCCAGAATTTCCCAGCCAGCATGAATTCTGGGAGTTGAAGTCCACAGGTCTT